TCGAGAGTGTTTTCTAATGGATAAAACAAACACAGCAGAAAGCGGGTTTAAAACAAACTAACTTTCTCAAATTCATATTTCTTTCTTCTGTCTCTGGATGAAATTCAGTGACAACATTTGATTATGTAGTTATTCTGCACACACACACACACAAAGAAAACATTTCTTACTAACCGCCCAAGTTCCAGGAGGTGTTGTTCTTTGAGATATTTCCTTGCACGAGGACTGTTTAAAAATAAAATAAAACCTAGTTATATAAAAATTAAGTAACGTAATATATACTCGGTGGATAAAGCTTTAAGCAACCCACCATAGGTTGCTTCTAATTCTAATGCCGTGGGACTACAAGTTCAAATTTTTCCAGATTTATAGTTGGGGCTCAACTGGAAAACATCAACGTCATTTCAAGTTGTAAGCGCTTTTAAACGGCACATCCAGTGCAGATTCTACTCAAAGCCATAGCAGATGTTTTTCCGCGACTCGCTGGCAGTCACAAAAGGGATAAGCATACACAAATGATCATTAGAGTTATGAAAAAGATTTCCAACAAATTTCATAAAGGAGCACTTACCACAATATTTTTTGGGGGGATATTTTGCAGGCATTGCATCAAAACTTGAAAAGTTTGGGCCAAATTTTCAAGTTTTAATCCATGTCCATCCTTGCTATCCGTTGCAGCAGACGACAGGAAACAGTTTTAATTAAGAGAGGATAAAGGGGACAGAGAAGGCATCCCCCATACACACCCTATTCCATAGGTAATTTGGCTCGTGTTATTTTTAGAATCGGGATAAAGTTACCTGGCGCGCTGCGTGGGTGTTTCGTGGAAGTTTCGCATGATTAAACACCGTGCAAAACATTTCGCCTGGCTGAGAGAGAGGAAGGGCGATTCTTTTTTAATTTCCGTTTCGCTGACACAACTTTAGCAGAAATCTCTCTTTAGTCGTTTTCGTTGACCAAACGAATAGCAATATCGCTCTCCGCATCTTCCGAGATTTTGTTCTGCGTCAATTCGTGAAGGACGCGTGCCTCTTAGCGTGGGTCATCCACGCGGAACACATTCGCGCTATGTGATTGGCTGTTGTCTAATCCCTCTTGAGATCTGTGGTGTTAAAAATAACTCGAGACGAATTACCTATGGAATAGGGTGTGTTTGGTGGATGCCCTCTCTGTCCCCTTTATCCTCTCTTGCTTTCAGTGGCTAAATATAGTCGTAAATACCAAAACTGGACCTTGAAATTCAATTGATGGGAGAAAAGATTTGCTTTTAAAAGAAGATAGCTAATAGTCTGACATAGCCCTTTTAATGCCCTTACCTCTGTCAACTGGCAACGCTCTTGCGGGTCTCACGTATCTGCTAAGGAATGCGCTGTTGTATTCTGCTCCGATATGATTGCTCACGTAACAAGTGTAAAGTCCAAAATCTTCTTCTGTCACATTACTAATTTTCAAGTCAGATTCATAACTTTCACCCCGTTGCCGGACAGTGCTGTAATACTTAAGATCTATAAGCTGAAATGCTCCATCTTCCAAGTTATTCCTCATGTTTGACACAAATGTCATAGACTTGTCCCATTTCAGCCATCTAAAATCCGGAAGTGTCCCACTTACAAGCACAAGGCACTTCATTGTTACACTTTCTCCAACCTGTGCACTTTTGTTCCTTGGAAGATCTTTCCGCAAAGTGGGTATTGTTCGTGATTTAGCTATTAGAAAGATGACGAGAGTTAGCCCTATGCGGCCTAAATGAAACGATTCCAAGAAAAATAAGAAAACTAGATAAAGATTAGACCATCCTCTCATCACAGTCTCATGTACTCACCCTGAACCCTGACCGAGTATGTATGATTTATACTGCCATATGGATTCGACACTATACAAGTGTATTCCCCAGCGTCTCCAGGTCTTAGGTCTTTTAGTTTCAAGTACCAAATTGAAGTGTTCAGGTATGGGTCCAATTTTCTCCCTCTTAAAATCTTCCCGTCTTTAAGCCAGGAGTATTTAAGAGGTGCTGCTCCCATTGCCTTACACTTTAACTTCACTGAGTGACTTGCTGGCCATACTTTGAAAGCTCTTTTTAAGGTATCTGGGTCAGAAAAGGTGGGTGGATCTCCTATCCGGGAAGGAATTTTTATAGTTACTTGAAAGGTCAGTAAATCAGAGTATCTAATCTAACTTATCAATTGCAAAAAATGCACTCTATTTGAGTATCAACATATCTAGTACTAAAGTATTAATTGTGGACACTGTTGTTACGTCTCATACTGAAAGCAACTGAAGACGGGACCGCCATTTCACGTTGCTCATCCGAGCCGCGCGAAAGGTCTTATGGGGCAAGGGAAGCCGGTACCTTCAGTTATTTTGAGATTCTGAGTATTGGTCCGGCCTCGGGAATTGAACATGCAACCTCCCGCTCTGGTAGCTGTCAACCGCTCTACCGACTGAGCTAATCCTGCTGCGGTCATTATTATATCGGGTTGGGTTGTATTTAGCAACTGGCCTCCTTTGCTTTTCAGCAGCACAAAACGATCGACTCTTTTTTCTTCTGGAGTTTGTTCAACTTGTTATGATCATCACAAGTTATTAAAAGGAACTCCATACCAATGAAAACAAAAAGGATCGGATCGCAGAATCAAGGATGTTCAACTTGTAAGATACCCTGCAAGAGAGCCTGTCTTTTACTTTCTCAATTTTGGCGTATGCGAGAAAGACCCTGCATGAATTGAATAAGATCTTTGTTGAGAATGTGCTACTTTTTGCTGGAATACCCCAACCCAGGTCTAACAGCTATGCGGTCGGATAATCACACGTTTGGAAAACAAAGTTTCATGAGAGGAAACAAGATTGCGTACAGTACAAATTCGCGAGTAAGAGCCTACTCTTTGGCAGTCACAAAAGAGATAACCATAAACAAACGATCCGTACAATTGTAAACAAGTTATCGAACAATTTTCATAAAGAAGCACTAAACACCATAATTGTTTTGGTGATTTTTTACAGGCATTGCATCAAAACTTGAAGAGATTGGCCCAAATTTTTAAAGTATTAATCCATGTCCATCCTTTCCATCCGTTGCAACAGACGACAGGAAACAGTTTCAATGGCAAAATATGGTCGTAAATAACAAAACTGGACCATTTTTTCTGAAATTCAATTGATGCGAGAAAGATTTGCTTCTAAAAAAGATAGCAAATAGTCTGGCATAGCCGCTTTAATGGCCTTACCTCTGTCACCTGGCAACGCTTTTGTGGGTCTCACATATCTGTTAAGGAATGCGCTGTTGTATTCTGCTCCGATATGATTGCTCGCGTAACAGGTGTAAAGTCCAAAATCTTCTTCTGTCACATTACTAATTTTCAACTCGGATTCATAACTTTCACCTCGTTGGATACCGCTGTAATACTGTGGATCTATCAACTGAAATGCTCCATCTCTCAAGTTGTCCCTTATGTTTGACACAAATGTGATAGACTTGTCCCATTTCAGCCATCTAAAATCCGGAAGTGTCCCACTTACAAGCACAAGGCATTTCATTGTTACACTTTCTCCAACCTGTACACTTTTGTTCTTTGGAAGATCTTTTTGCAAAATGGGTCTCGTTCGTGGTTTAACTATTAGAAAGATGACGAGAGTTAGCCCTGTGCGGCCTACATGAAACGATTCCAAGAAAAATAAGAAAACTAGATAAAGATTAGACCATCCTCTCATCACAGTCTCATGTACTCACCCAGAACCCTGACCAAGTATGTATGATTTATACTGCCATATGGATTCGACACTATACAAGTGTATTCCCCAGCGTCTCCAGGTCTTAGGTCTTTTAGTTTCAAGTACCAAATTGAAGTGTTGAGGTATGGGTCCCATCTTCTCTCTCTTAAAATCTTCCCGTCTTTAAGCCACGTATATTTAAGAGGTGCTGCTCCCATTGCCTTACACTTTAACTTCACTGAGTGACTTGCTGGCCATACTTTGAAAGCTCTTTTTAAGGTATCTGGGTCAGAAAAGGTGGGTGGATCTCCTATTCGGGAAGGAATTTTTATAGTAACTTGAAAGGTCAGTAAATCAGAGTATCTAATCTAAATTATCAATTGCAAAAATGCATTCTATTTGAGTATCAACATATTTAGTACTAAATTACTAATTGTGGACACTGTTGTTACATCTCCTACTGAAGACGGGACCGCCATTTCAGATCACGTGCTCTTCCGAACCGCGCGAAAGGTCTTACGGGGCAAGGGAAGCCGGTACCTTCAGTTATTTTGAGATTCTGAGTATTGGTCCGGCCTCGGGAATTAAACACGCAACCTCAGCAACTGGCTTAGCCTGAATTTCATTAAGGTCATTAATGAAAAGTTTGTCATTAAGGCCCCCTCTATACAAGAACTTGTTTAGCCTAAAATTTGAACAGGTTCTTATTTTCTAGAATATATATTAAAACTATTCTCTACACTTGGGCTAAAGCACTTCAAATTTCATGAGGTCAGTGCTTCAGTCCTTTTTCTCATGGTCATTTTTGCATAAATACCAAATACATTTGGTATGCTGAATTTATATTTTAAGGAATAAGCTGAATACCATTAAATACTCATGGCTACTAAACTATGCTTTAAAAAAAAATAAGAAGAAGAAGAAGAAGAACCTATTTAAGAACAACCTAAATTTGTGCAAATTACCATTTAAATTTATGTAAGAATTTGTTTAGGCTAACTTGGGAAAATGCCGGTTCTTACTCGCGGATTTTCACTGTAATCAAGAAGTTGGGGTTTTGGCGACGCAGTTGTCACTTTCGTAAACGGTTGCTGCTATAATGATTTTTAAGACACTTAAAAAAATTTTTAACCTGTTATTGAGAGTGTTTCTATTAAAAAGAAAGAAGATCGCAACGCAGGGTCGATCTCGTACCTTTCGTGTCCTTACCTCTCTCCTTAGTCTCCCTCGCAGCCGGTTTTCGTGTCGTCACGCGAGGAGCGTTGCGTGACGACATTAAAAACGGCTGCGAGGGAGATTACCCTCTCTCTTACTACTACACTACCACACCGACCGGCCAAAATTCCGGAAAACGGAAAATTTTAGTACGTAAACTAACAGACGGTTTTCTTAACTGATACATCATTAACAGGTGATCCTTCAATTTTCCTAACTATTAACGTAAATCCAGCTTAGGCTTCAAGGTCGTTCTTTCTAGGACTATTCAAAAACGTATTATTTGCCTTATACATTGTAACTTAACCCAGGGAATATTATAAAAGTATCCCCCGAAGGGAAGGTGAATAGTGGTGGGTGGTTATACCGAGGCGCGAACCGTCGAGGTATATATCTAGCGCTGTTCACCGATCCTGAGGGGGATAGTTGTTTTAGTATTTACCAAATCAGTTGAAACTGAAAAAAGGAACTTTTTGTAAATTAAAAACGTCACTTAGTAGGAAGTTTGTTTACAATTTACAAACATTTCAGGGATTTGTCAAGTGCATTTTAGCGGAGCTCTTCGCGCGCGCGAGCGGAGCCCCGTAGTAGCTAAGAAAATTTGGTAAACCATCCATCCGAGAAAAGCATCCAACTGATTTGTGGACTGAGAAAACAAGTTTATTGTTTGATTTCAGGAGCCCATCAAATGGAGCCTCCATCTCCCATACAAGCCCTTGGAGTCAACCCTTTCCCGAGTAGATTTATAATTAGAACGGTTCCCAGGGGAGACTTCGCGCGCCGACGGTGGGAAGAGCCAATCACAACGACGAAATGACACTGCTATTGTACTTCACAAAACAGCAGGAAATTTGGTGTTGACAGGCCAAACACAATCATAAGCTAGTGAAACGTGACTTCAGCGTTTTCATCCCTCGGAGATTTTCTTTCTTTTCTTTCTAGTGGGTAGATTATACTGTGGAGAGTTTTACACTCTGACTATGTTAATCATAATTTTGGTTGCTTGTCTCACATTAAGAGGCCATGAAGCTGGTCTGTTACCTGCAGTCTGTAGTTCTGACAGGATTCGTTTTCTTTAGCCAATTTTTTTGAGCGTTAAGGTTCTCATTTCGGCTAAATGACTCAATATTAATCAAATTTCTAGTTTTGCAAGGCTTTTTTTTTTCCGAAACGCGTTTATCTAAATAAATACTTGTAGTCCTTGCGGTTGTTTTGCCCGTTAGCTAGTGTGATGATTCCCTGCTATGTTTTGTAACGCCGGGCCCAGCCATTCTTTTCTCGCAAAAAAGTGATCTACAGATGCGAATTCGAAGGAAAGAATTGAGCCTAAACTTCTACATTAACTGCTGAGAATTGTCCTGTTACTCAGTCATAACTCTTTTGGCGCAGATACAATCCATTTTGTTTTTCTTGAGATAAGCGGGTCTTTGGACTTGAGCGCGATGTCACAAATTCCTCCGTTAGCAAATTATTCACGGTCGAGCAACTGCTGTCTTCTGTTCAACTTTTCAGGTGCCAGTTTTATCAGGCAACTCTCATGTTGATACAAGTCAGTTGTAAAGGAAGACTGCAATTTCTCAAATTTCGGAACTGAAGCATTCCTCGTTAGTTGCTTCTTAGGTCATCGCTTTTGCACGCGGTGCTTAACTGGCGAAATCCACTCCACGGTGATGACAAAAAATCAAATGATCCTGGCGCTTTCTCGGCGCTGATCATCGACAAATTCCAAATCGTCCACAGAACGCTTAATCGTCGACTCTTTTGAAGGTGCACGCTTAAATGTGGGATGTATGGCGGCAGAAAAAAAAAACACTCGCAAAGATAACCTTTCCGTGATCCTCAGTTCGCTGCCTTTGTCCCATCGCTTCATGCTCAGTCTCAGTCGGGTAATTCATTAACTTTTATTTCATGACACCCAGATGGAGATCCCAGCGGCTGTAAAATTGTAAAAATGGACGTATAGTAAAAAAGGAAAACGGTCGAAGGACGGGCTTCTGAGTTCGACTTCATCCAACTTCATTTTTTTCACGGTGACATACGAGACTCACGGAAATATGACACTTTTCGCTGGAAACAAGCCGTTCTATTTATAAATCTACTCGGGAAAGGGTTAACTCAAGAAATTAATGGAGATGGAGGCTCCATTTGATGGGCTCCTGTTGATTTAAATTATACATTAAATTATTCTGGATCTACGCTTTTAGCCCTGGCTAAATCTATATTTTACGATTTTGTTGCAAATTCAGCATGAAAATAATTTTCTACCTACCAATGAACACCGACAAGCCAAAGTCTGTCGCTTTCTTGGTATTTGTTTCTACGACTGCTTCATTTATCGCACAAATTTCGTCTTCCGAAATGTCTCGAAACTGGACGCCATCTCGGCTCCGGTCGCAAAACAGAGAATAGCCAGGGATATTCCGAGTTACGGGAGCCAATCAAAACGCGCGGAAATCGCTATTCACTAATTTGGTAAATACTAAATTACATCTATCATGACTAAAGGCTTGGTTACCGATGGTGGCATGGCAAAGACCGTGTGCGAAAGGGAAATAGGCTTCAGGGCGGCGACCGCACAAAAATGTCCTTTTCTCCTCCTCACTCAACAAGACAAAGGCAGGCACTACCCGCAGGGTGCTTGCTATAAATATATTTATAGAAGATGGCATACAACCATAAAGCTGAATATTTAATACCTGTATCGCAGCGATCTCCTCTCCAACCAGATAAGCATACTTTATTTCCATTCTTATCGCATGTGTAATGCCCAGAGTTGTCGCTTCGGGCCCGACAGAATTTTTTACAACGATTTCCATAATAGTCAGCATCACAGATCACTCTGATCTTGTAGCTGATGGTGACAACAGAACTATAGGTGGTTTTCACGTTACGTCATCGCCGCCATGCTGGTGGACGGTAAACAAAAGATCGCTCTTTAGCTCGCTTTGTTTGTCCACCGGCATTTGCTCATTTCACCATTGTTATTTGTGTCTCCCGAGGATACATGAAAACCACCTATTGTATGCGTGCAATTCCCATTCGTTGTTTGAAAGTAATGTCCCTCTCTATACAACTCTGTCGATTAATTCACTGTTACCTAATATGTGAATAATAAATAAAAATAATGATTAAATAACAAAATAAATAGATTGTTTGAAAGGTTGTTAAAGTGCTGTGAGGCGGAAAGGACTGTTTTGCCTAACAAAACTGCATAAGATGGATACCGTATTTCAGTATGCCAATAATGTTCATAACTTACTAGTAATTGCCTCTTAATATTCAATAAATGTTGATTGCTTTTGCACTAAACATTAAAGAGAAAGTTATTGAAGATATAATGTTCGATCAATTAATATTCCTTGCCTTGTTTCCAAGACATTTACATTGAACGTAGACAAAATTAAGTTATTCTGCATAGAAAACAATAGTTAGTGCTTTCATAAACATTAACATTCAGACGGCCTGTGAATGCAAGCTAGGCGCCAAACGAGCCAGAATCCTTTGAGCAAAAACTTACTCGAATTGTCTGCGTCCCTTGCTTCCAGAACTAAGGAGTACGCAGCCTGCAATAAACAACTATAATAGCGTTCGTTAACTTATCTCGTGGGGGGAAGGCGCGGGGGCACTCACGAAACTTTCGGGTAGAGGTGTGCCATCGAGGCCTTCACTGAAACCCTGACCACGTTTAAAACAAATCGTTAATAGGACTCAATTGGGTAATTAAGTTATAAACGGGAAGGCAAAGTGCCAGATTATTCTAATAACCAAAAAAACGGGGCCATTCCCCTAAATTGAGCTGCATACCACTTGCTGAACGGTTCAATAATTATTCTAAGGACAGACTGCGTAGGCTTACCCTCCCTCCACAAGCTTGACAGGTGAATAGAGATCGGATTGCGAAATCCATTATTCGACGATGAAGTGTTTGTGAAAGAGATCGAACTTCTTCTTAGAACAACGGTTGTAAACTCGCCGTACAAACAAGGACCAGTCGACGAATCATGTTGCGTGTTCTGCTTGTTTAGACAAACTCTGAAGAATGTGTCGCATTCGTCACGGCACACGCTTTGTCCATGATGTATCGTGCGACTCCCATCACAGCATTCACCGTTGGATTTCTCATGTTTGATGTTTCTCAGCGAATTTAAGTAGATTTGAAAAGATCCCGATCCACTTACAGTCTGCAAAAGAGAAAGAGGGTCAGACTCACTGAATCTTTCCCGAAAGCCTAAAATTCAAAGTGCAGGAAAAGGCTTTATACAATGCGTGGTTTTTCCTTACCTGCTTATGAAGGAAGAGGAGTAATGCAACAAAACAAATTAAACTTTTCGAGAAATGGACCGAAGCCATCGCTAAAATCTGAATATTGCTGGCAGAGGTCGAGGAATTAAAGATATTAAATATACTGACGCACTTCCTATTCGTGATTGACGTGCTCTTCTCTTCTGAGTTTATTCTAATCTGCGATCAGGCGTTCTTTTTTCGGGGATAGGGCAAAATTCGTCTAGCAAAGAGAAAGGGAAGAAGGACACCTGATCACCTGATCGTAGGCGGGTTAAGTTTATTCCTATGTGTTGCACATTAAAAAGTTGGACCCTGGATTTGCATTTGCTTATCAAACCAGTTTCACTAAAGGGAAAATCCCGGGAAAATAACGGGAGTTCTTGTCGGAAATTACCAGAATATTGCTCAAAATCAGCAAACACATTCATTCGCTGCGAGGGCAAGACAGTGTAAAAAATTTCATGTTTTTTTTTTCACGACTCGACGAACAGATGCTCTCCAAGTTAGGGAAAAAACCTGCTTCGATTTTTCCCTCGCGGTAGATAAAAAAAAGAATCAGTGTTTATGTTCAGTTGTTCAGAATTATTTTCAACCCTAAATTAACTGGCACTGACAACTTTTAACAACGATTCAAGGGCTAGTCAGACTATTAGGACTGTTCATTTGGGTAGCCATGAAATTGTTCCCTTTATTTTTATGGCTCAATACTGTAAAATGCCGCTAAAAGTGGCCGCGACAAATCTAATAGCATTTATTTTACATTTTATAGATCAGTGCGCTGGCAATAATCCACAGATTTTTACCCCTAGACTGGGTGCGACAAACACCCCGTCGTTTATTAAAGGGACTATCCCTTGGACAGAGCGAACATGACTTTCTAGAAATAAGGTTTAGCATTACTTAATCGTGGAGCAGGTATTCATACGGATGAAGAGGACATGGCAGCATTGGGCTAAGCATTCATTGTCTCTAAATCGACGACTCGCGTTTGACTGCAAATGTAAAACGCAAAAAAAAAGCAGAAAATTGGACCATCGATTAAACCCGAAACACGGAACATGAAAAATTATAATAATTTTTAAACAGTTAAAAGAAATAAACAAATAGAAAATAAAAATAGCCGAAAAAAATAAGTATAAATAAATAAATAAATAAATGAACATAAATAAACTGACATGAAATATATCCACATTGCTGGAGGTAAATACAATTGGCTGGTCGAGGGAAAGGCTGTCGGACAACCTCGTCCCCAGGGCTTCTCCCTGGCCCCTCCCATTTTCTTAGGGAGAAACCCTGTGAACGAGGTTGGTTGTCGGATACATTTCCGTGCAAATGATAGTAATGAGTGAAATCTCCCTTTTCCAACATTTTTAAGAGCTTAGAAACTTCTGGCTTTGAATTTTGGTGGACAGTTCGCACTGGATACTTATTACCCTGTCCCGGGGGACTAAGTTATGGAACTGCCGTACTGTGACTGCTTGGGCATCACATGGGTTACTCCCCAAACCGCCCCAAGGGGAGGTGGCAGGGCTGAGACCTTAAAGTCACTTCAACTGAACTCCGTTGAACTGAGGAGGCGGGCAAAACCATGCAATTCTAAGCGAGGGTCCGATGCATCATGCCATTAGTGCGCAGGCTCGAGCGACCAACCTCGTCCCCAAGGCTTTTCCCTTAAAAAATAGGTGGGGCGGGAAAAGGCCCTGGCATCTTTTCCCGCCCCACCCATTTTTTAAGGGAAAAGCCCTGGGGACGAGGTTGTCGAGCGACGGAATTTTAAGGAGTTTCTTATTTCCCGCGTTACCGGCTGATAGATACGCAGTTAAAATAATGGTGGTTTCTAAACTGGTGTTAACAGTCGCCTGTTTTTCCGCCCGGTGGAAGATGTCGAGCGCTGATCTACCGAGGTTTCTCAGGCAGATCGAAATCTGGGGATAGTATACCCCTGAGACAAGTACTCTCTGTCGATTTGGCTCGCTAAAAGAAACCAAAATACACTGAAAATAGCGGAGATCAGCATCTTACCACGAATGTGAATGTTGTGCACCAACAACCAAAGCCGGGTGTCCCTAGGGTCTTCAAACGATCACAGAGGAGATAGGTAACCTTCACATAATTGCAAAACTCATGATTAACTGCGGAGGCTGGGAATTGGTGACGGAAGCTAGAACATCTTGCCAACTCTGGCGCAGAGCGCCTTGATTTACCGTGCTAGAGAGACCTTGACCGTGTCTCTAATCTGCCAATCAAATCGGCGGTCGCGAGATTGTTTAATAAGCTAATTCAAAAGTAATCATCAAGGGAGGAACGACGCGCTCTAGCCCAAAGAGTCCCACTATCTTTAGAAAAACAAGGTGGAGTTTAAAAATCGTAGCTTTAGTTTAAGCTGCAATCCATTCTTTGAAATTCGGATCTGAAAATCACTAAGGAGAATTTAACATCCTGCGAAAAACTACTAACTAGCTGGGCCCAGCGTAACAGAACATTGCAGGAAACCTTCACATTCACGGACAAAAGTAAACCGCTTTAAGTTATTCAGATCCAGGAGGCACTTTGGAGAAATTTAAACAACCTAAAAGTTTACTTAGCCGCAAGGAAGAAGTTTACGTTTTAAAGAGGACAAAGAAAAGCTTCTCGACTCGCATCAAAGGGTGAATCATGCCGACCATAAATAAACCGCAGAAAATCATTGCGTGTCACGACCTCTCAGTATGAAACAAGAGGCAAAAATAATGCAGATTTGCTCAGTCATAATCTACCCGCTGGGAAAAAAATTCATTGGAACAAGCAGCATTTTGGCACGAGGTAAATGTCGTGTGTTGCCTACCGACCCCATATGCCAGGTAGTAACTGGAACAGCAGTGATTTTCCATCTAGCGGGTCGGCAAGACCGCCAGTATGTCTCTCTTTTGAATATAATTTACAATGCCCTCTCTTAGTTCCGCACTTATTTCTCCACACCATCGACTGTTCCACTGGCTTTGGCTATTGCCTTATCTCAATCTTCCGTACATACAGGCATCTGATATAGACCTTTTTACCGATACGGCGGCCATATTGGATTACTTAGATTTAAGGAGTATTATGGGATGGCCGGGGGGGCATGAGCACGATTCCATTTACTCGCTCAGTATTTATGAGCGCTTTCGGGCTTATACTACTACATGAGACAACAATTTGATTGGCTTAGAGCAGTGGTATTTCAGCTTAATTTGAAATACCTACATGTGAAAATTACAAAACTATTGCTGGTAGTAGTATAAACAAATAATAGCATGATTTGTACGTGATATTTG